TTCCCTACATTTGGGAGTGTTTGCAATTTCTAATTGTACTTAACATAAGAAAAATTGTCGATTGATTTTCGAATTTCAACTCATTTCGTTAAGTACCACTTGCTACCAAAATGCTATTTAAATATATCAAATTCTATTTTGTATTTCGAATATTTAAAAATATCTTGAACCTCTCGTAAATTATGTTTAACAATATCCAGCAATAATAAAACTCATGTTAAATTGACACTGTATGGTCAATTACTAACTATTATATATAACTATATATATAATCGTATCGAAGGAAGTCGAAACACTTGAACTTTTATACTAGACTGACATTACAAGAGCACTATATCATTTGAACCTATTATATCTACGTGTGTTTCACTATACAGTCATTATTTTCTGCTTGCAATTAGATACAAACAACAATTGTTACTTAATAGGGAGAATATAATAATGAAAGAGCATGAATTCAATAAACCCGAATTATGACGAGTTATCATTTTTTTCAATACAATTGCCCAAGTATTTTTGCCACTGTAGTAATCGCAATATCCTCCTCATTTTTTGGAACTGCATGTCTTCTCTCTATTCTTCTTTATGCGAAACTAAATAATGTGATTCTCAAGCGATCATATGATATCGTCAGCGTGTGCTGAGTTGTCAAATGTCAATGTTCCTTCTACCCCGCACAAGCTTATTGTGTCTCACTTTCAGTAAAAAGCGAGCTGGGAATTTCTAGAAAATCTATCAACCCCGTTAGCAGATGCAACAACACGGTCTCGAAGTGCGCCTACTATCGGGGCACTACGGTACATCGATATAGCGAAATAAACTAATTAATATGAGCGCACCTATTAAATATATATTGTTTGTCAATTACAGCCCGAATTCGGCAAAACAAATTGGTTACTCGAACAAAGATATCTCGTATCAAAATTGAAGAAGGATTGCTGATGCATGAAAAGAAAAAAAGAAATTTGACCTTGAAAATCACGCTCAAGGATAATTTTACGTATATATCTCTCAATAAGTCTTCACCGATTCGAAGGTGTAAAATAACGCTGTAATGACCAATGACAATTACCTTTCATACACCTTCCATACACCTTCCATACTAATTTTTGTGCCGATATAAATCTATAAACCAAATCTTTTCGCTATATCACGAAACGTCGCAGAATATTTCAAACGTGTTTTTCTCGGAAAGTCATTCTTCAAATTAGTATACAGAAGCACTTAAAAACTAACTGATGCATTAATTTTAAAGAAAACCTATTTTATCGGTTGTGTATTACTCTAGGGATTGAGACAAAAATTCGACTTTAGTGCTTATTTACAACATTTTTTAACGATTACATATTATAAATACCTAAAAAAGTGACTTCTTTTTCAGTCGCACAAAATTTTATTTTTCGAAATTATATAACTCTGACAGGTGCTACAAGATACATCCACATGGGTTACAGCGATAAAAATGTGAAAAAACTATTGTTAGAACAATTGATAGAATTACAAAAAAAAAAAAGAATGTATATGAATAAATTCTTTTCTATATTTCGAAAATGTTTCATCCTATACACAAGAAAGTTTAACTCAATATTATAAATGGTTTTCTTTAAACAAGAAAAAAAAGAAAAAAAAAACGAAACGATATGTCAAACATCAACTACTTTCACAACTTTCACTCGACAATCCCTCCTTAATCAATTTTTTCAGCGCCAGAAATTTCGATGTGACCGTAGGCATATACTAGTTAACAACTGTTCACGAATAGTTGTTACCAACGTGGACTTAACATTATAACAAGAATAAAGAGGAAGAAAAAAGAAAAAAGAAAGTAGAGAATAAACTTAGACGAAAGTAATTATAGTATATGAAGCAAAGTTGGATATTATTGCCAGATTTTAGAACAAGCACTACTCTCATAATATCTATAAATTATAATGATGAAACGTGATTAAGGGTTAATCATGTTAGTTGCATTAATTATTGAAACCTTAGTTGTCAATGAAAAAGGAAAAGAGAAAAACATTATAAAAAGTAAAAGAAAGCGTAAAAAAAAAAAGAAAGCGATAGAAAAAGGAAGAGAAAGAAAGGAAAAATATGGGGAACACGCATACGGCAATTAGCAAGCATGAAGAAAAGAGTCTAAAGAAAAGAGATGCGTATGAAAATAATGTTAAAAGATGATTGATTTATTGTGGAGATACAGACCATCCTCACCTGGTAAACTTCCCTTGGCGCGGACCCCCCCACGAGCGGACAGCCGCTGGACCCCACGAGCCCCTGAAGTTGCGGGGTTGCGTCCCCCCCTGACTGGCCCACGGACTTGGGGGCCACCGACTCGGCCACGCGGCACTACTCCACGGCCACGTCCAGCCTGACCAAATAACACAATACCCAATTGTTACCCTATATGATATTTCTTAAATTCCTAGTATAGATTTACGTACACGATTCTACTTTATTTTAATATTTTTCGCTTTTGCTCGCGGACTTGGCAACAATTGTGTGTCCTCAGCTTTCTTTTATCGACCCCGTTCTCCTTTCCAATTAACGATTAACAATTAACATAATACATGTTCTCGATTAATATAATATTCATAAATAAAGCCTAACCTGGTTACTCACTTGTTACATGTACACGATCTAAACAATTTCTTTGTTTGATGACTAGCCTTAGTTGTTAAAATTTTGCTTCAAGATTAATATCCTATTTTATATACATTTTATACCCATTAACTATATTCATATACGTACTATATACAAAATCACGTACACGTACACTTTCATGTACAAATTAACATGTATATGTATATACTCGTACAAAATTGATTTTTATACACACACTAAAAACATGAACGTATGTACGTGCGCGTAAATACATACAAGCACCTATGTATCTGTACGTATATGCATACGTATATACATGCAAATTGTACATACAAAATTGTGCGAGCACGTTCGCGCGCGCGCGCACATGTGTGTAGGTGGGGTGGATGTGATGAAATCGACGGACGGACGGACGCACGGATGGACGGATGGACGGATGGACGGATGGACGGATGGACGGATGGACGGATGGATGGATGGATGGATGGATGGATGGATGGATGGATGGATGGATGGATGGATGGATGGATGGATGGATGGATGGATGGATGGATGGATGGATGGATGGATGGATGGATGGATGGATGGATGGATGGATGGATGGATGGATGGATGGATGGATGGATGGATGGATGGATGGATGGATGGATGGATGGATGGATGGATGGATGGATGGATGGATGGATGGATGGATGGATGGATGGATGGATGGATGGATGGATGGATGGATGGATGGATGGATGGATGGATGGATGGATGGATGGATGGATGGATGGATGGATGGATGGATGGATGGATGGATGGATGGATGGACGAACGGACGGATGGATGAATGGATAAATTTAATAATCAATAGTAGGAACTAATCAAATATGATATGCATAGCATGAAAAGCGAAAACAGGAAAGAAGGGGATACGAAAGTGTAAGGAAAGAACGGTAGGATATAAAGTAGTTATATATATACTGTGAGCGTGCGCGCGCGTGCACGCGTGTGTGTGTACGTGTGCGTACGCGCGCGCACGCACGCGCGAGTGCGTGTGCGTGTGTACAGATTAATCGAATATACACAGTGCGACGGGAGTAAGGATCACCTAAAACCAAATTTTACTAACCACATTTTTTTACAGACAGCAGTAGTATTAGCAGAATTATCCAATGCAGTAAAGCGGAAAGCTTATTGTATTGGGATGGCGAAGGAACTTTAAGCGACACAATTTATTGCACTGTCAGCTAGAACAAAATTCAACAAGTCAAGATATATAATATAAGCACCGCAACATCACACAGCAAGGTATTATTTAAGCGTAAGCGGTATTTTACACACTGAGGCAAGCAACAAACATTAAATTTTATTATCGATGCTACAAATTACTTGCGATGATTAGTAGAAATCATCATTTCTTTTCTTTCTTTCTATTCTATCTTGTGAATTATTTCCTCATTTATATTTTACACATTGTCTATATTAGACTGCAATTCAATATATCAAAAAACTAGTCAGACATACACGTACACAAACTCACACGCATATATACGTCGTTTAACATATGTCTTTCTTATATAGGGTTTCACTATTATTCCTTTACCCAACGAAATAAATCTAAATTATTACATATACTTCTCTTGTACCAACAGATGCGCGTACGCACGTATGTGTTTATACTCATAACATTCAATCAATTCATGATATTTACTTTCAAGAGGCTATAACAACATTATATAACTTCACAACTAACATCTAATGAAATACAACACGTAAGCAACTTTTTCCTATTTTTTCAGAATTTCAAAACAACTGAATAGCAATATACTGCATATCGGTATAAATTATGAATGAATTATTCACGCCAGTGTCCTATTCAGATAAGCGCTATATGTTATCTCATTTCTATTATACTTGAGAAAAATGATAGAAGAGTTAACTATTTATGTAAATAATTATAGCACGAAAAAGATAAAGTACTTGTCTAAATTATCAAATACTTTCAATTAATAATCATCTTCTGTTATCGTATTATTGGCGATGAACTAAACCTACGATCAAAATAAATGAAATTAAGATAAAAAGACAAACCACAATATATACATAGCATTACAAAAGTACTGGGTATATTATGATGCATACGAGGAAAACAGCTTAAATAAATAACTATTTAAATTCTAGCAAACTGGTTAACAATTATTGCACTTTTAGTAACTAATACATAAGCATATAACAATGCTTGAATAATGTAGAAAAGAGATCAGTGATGAAAAAGCTAACTTGAAACTTTACAGCGTATTCTATACCAATGAATCTGTACTATAAAAGCGTAAAAACTATCGTGTCGAAAGAAAAAAAATGGAACCAATTACAAGAATAAAAACTTAAACTGTCTATCTATCAGTCGAGTAATTAGTCACTTAGTCAGTTATTGAATAAATTCAACAACCAATAGAGTAACAAATGTATCTATTCATCTAGCTATCTGCTTATCTACTTAACAATTTAATTAGATTATCCTATGATATATCTATCTATCTATCTATCTATCTATCTATCTATCTATCTATCCATCTATCTATCTATCCATCTATCTATCTATCCATCTATCTATCTATCCATCTATCTATCTATCCATCTATCTATCTATCCATCTATTTATCTATCTGTCTCTATATATATATACATATATATGTATATGATGAATCAGTTTTAATCATGCTCATATGGTGCCCAATACTTTCCTGTTTTGATAACCCTGTAAATTTGAGCGCACGCATGGGCTATAAGGAAGCTCAGAAGAAATCAGTCGGAACTCTTGTACAGGCAAGAATATTTCTCTTCAACACGTGCCGTTCATTTTCTTTGTTATACATTGCTTACATGTGTCAAGTTAGTGAACGTTTAGTCAATTAAGAAAATTTCTGTATGCCCGAGTTTATGTGTGCATGCAATTAGATCAACCTACTGATCAATTACTAACCACAGCTAGCCAACCAACATTTTCTGAGCACCCTTGTGCGCATCAATGCGCTCGCACACGTGTGTATGTGTGTGTACACGCTAAATGTATCATATCCGAGCCACGAGATTCACACCATCGCTATCTTTGGAAGGAGAAACTACAAACAGGTATATTAAACGTCGCAGATTCAACTATCATCACTATTTACATATACATATTTATGCGCACACATATGTTTATAAATATACATACACGTACATATATTATACACACGTATACTCCTATGCTCATGCACACGTACACGAACACACGCATATGCATATACGTACACGCACGTAAGCAGGTGCATATACACGCGCGCACGCTCACGTACGCAGATACGCACACACAGAAGCGTATGCGGTGGAAAGAATGCAAGATAAATTTGCATACCAATTGATACATACATGGGGTAGGTACACATCACTTATTCAGTGTACCTCGTACACATTTAGTATCATTAATAGAAATACGCCATTACTAAAAAAAGTATACATCATTGTCACGTTCATTTTTGATTCTATAATTCCAACTTCTTACGAGACTTTATTGTATTTTAAAATTCTACTTACATTTCTTCCACTTAGTACATACTCCATGTATATACATATACATTTATCACATACTACAAAATTCACATTAGGAACTTGCCTATAACACCTTTTCCTATAAAAAATTCCTACTTTCTATAGCATGTCATCAAATATTATAAATTTTCTATCGTTTTTTCTTGTAGAAAAAGATATGAAAACACGAACGAGGTAAAGTCTTTCTCATTTTTTTATTCTACATGTTGCTATTTATCCTTCTATCTAGATACCGTGTATACTATATCTTCAATACTTTTTTTTTCTTTTTTTCCGTTCCTCTCTTACTTTCCTGTATTCTTTAGTTGCTTTTCCCGGCTATATTGATATTGAAAAATTTGGAATGGGTCTACTATGGCTCAGATATGATTAGCAAGCAATTTGAAAGTGGCAGTGTGTTCGATTTATAGGATATCGTTAGTCTAAGCAATGGAATTAGTAATAGATATAACAAATGTAGGACGTCGACGCTCCCCTCTCTCATCTAGCGCGCGTGTACGGGCATTTGTATATCTCACATCTTTCTCTCTTTCCAATCTCCAATATATGCACACTATATCACAAGTACACTTAAATTGTGCTATAATAAAGTTTTCCTAAATTCACGGAGATGTTCTAAATATATATGTCAAGCGCATTCCATTTCATTATTTTTACAAAGCTTTAAATAAATACACAATAAATATATCTATTACTCTAATTTGTGTAAGTGTTAAATTTCAGTACAACTAAATTTATATTCATAATTTTGTGAAGATGGGCCAAGTAATAAATGGGAGAGTAACTAAATAAAAAATGCATACATAGGAACATAGTAAGTAGGAAATGTATATAAAATTATCCAAACACTCAAAATGCAGACATACATTCACGCACTCATGACAGGTAGCACACGTGTCATTGGTATAAAAATAGTTAAATATATAAATATGCACTGGTGAGCGCATTTAGATTATACATTATATTTCTCTACTTATACGTATACTTACATCAGTAAGTAAAATGTTAATACACATTCTAAATGATAAAATAGGTAGGTTGTTTGGAGAGAGTAAAGCGGATTATACACTGTACTTGGGATACATCCGTGAACACTGTGCCACAGTCAAATTACTGCTGATGTGTGTATATATGTATATATGTATACATATATATACATATACATATACATATATATGTATATGTACATACAGATACACACACATACATACATACGTAAATATTAAAAAAAGTAATAATGATTCAGTAACGGAAACGACTTTAGAACCATTAAAAAAGGCGACCCACCGGTTGAGGCTGCCTGCCTCTCCCTCTGGCAGGTGGCGGAGGCGGCGCGTAATCGAAATAGTAATCTTCGTATCGATAATAGTCATCATAATATGGATCACTGTAGCCACCTCGATAATCCCCATAACCGTAATAGTCGTAATCATAATCTATAAAAACACACATTACAAATAGACCCAAATTTAGCCACGATATATCCAATTGAAAACTTATACAAAACTAATATTTATGTTTCGCATAAGAAAAAGCATGCCGGGAAAAGATGATTTTAAAACTTTAATTATAGGAAACAAAAAAAAGAAAAAGAAAAAATATACATTCGAACATTATATTGCGACTTTATTCGCAATATTATAAAACGATTTAATTAAGGAAACATATACTATTTTTTCTATATAACTGTAATATTGCAAAGAAAAATTTCAATAATTACCCTACCACCATCACGTATCCTGGTAAAAACCTCACGCTTTATTCGGATCATAGAAAATTGCTTCTTAATTTCTCATTACGAATTTTCCTCTAATTACATACCCCCAGCCCATCCCTCCCTCCTACCATTTCTCTTCTAAGTAGGTCGTTTACTCTTTCAATCACTTTTTACCCGAAATTTGTACCATTTTTTAATACAACATTCGATATAATATTTTTCCTCTCCTTCCTTTCTTCAATTAATCTGAACCCATGATAACTATGCACAACAATCTATGAAATTAAGCACATATCGTAAGCAAGAATAGTATACTTTATTGCAGTTTTCGATGATCCGACGTTAGCGTCCTTTTAACGCTGGATACATACTTTCAAAAGGAAAAAAATACAAAACTCTACCAAATGGTAATTTACTACTTTCCACTCGTAATTCAATATCGCATCTTACCTATTTCCATGAGAGCTGAAACCAAATTTTTTGAATTTATGGTGCATACAAAATTGACAAAATACACACACTTACAGAACGAAGTAGAACAAACAACATAAAAAAAGTGAAGAAAGAAAAAAGACTTAAGACTTCTTAACGATGTGTATGATTGTACACTGCCTAATACAAAATAAAGTTCATTTCGGTATAATTATACGTAAATACAAAACAAACAATACACATGCAGTTACTTTTCTCTTTTCGTATATGCGTATCTGTAGGTGTTCAATTGTCTGTCCGTCTGCGTGTCTGCACGCATGTGCGCGCGTGTATATGCTTCGTAAGAAAACAGGTATTACAGGAAGTGGTAGTGGTAAGGCAATAAGGTGCTTTATTATAATGCTAAGCCAAACCTGGCATACATATGCATAATCGTACATATGCATGAAAATTTTGTAATGTTCAAAACTGATTAACCTTCGTCCAAAGTATATGATGAACCCGATTATCATATATTATTCCCAAAGTTGTACACTAACAAAGGTAATAATTAAAATATATATATAAAAAAAAGAAAAGAAAGGAACAAGAAAAGGAGTTCGAAAGCAGTGAGAGAGTTACTAGTGTAAGGTGTAAGGAAGGGTAAGGAAGGGTAAGGAAGGGAAGGAAGAAGACGCACGCACGCACGCACGCACGCACGCACGCACGCACGCACGCACGCACGCACGCACGCACGCACGCAC